TCAACTCAAGTACTCGAAGACGCTTCTCAAAAGGGATTAGGAACTCAACACTTAAGGCTTAGAACTTGAAGATACCACTTCTCTGAAAGATGCTCAACTTACGAAGTTCATGCGAAATTATGGGCACGAAACAACTCGACTCGATGGTCTACATAACTATACGAAACTCATGTATACGACTCTTCTTATTCTCTGACTTACTTCCTCAAAATTTAGTTCAGATCGATAGTTGATCTCAAAGGATTCACAATTGAACTCAAAGGCTTTCTTGAACTCTACTCTTAACTCTCTCTTGAATGTGAATTATGAATTCAAGAGTTATGGTTCATGATATGAAGGATCTTGTAATGATAAAGTGGACTCATGAATACATTCTTCTCACTCATACTGACTTACTCAAGTCTTGAAACAAGTTATTAGAAATTGTAGAAGACTCCTCAAAAAGACTTAAATGACTTTCTTTGAATGTTCGAAAGAATTCTCAAAACTTAACTCTTAACTCTACCTTGAATTTGAATTATGGATTTAAGGTTGTGATTTGTGATAGGAAAGATATCATGATGTTTAGGATTGATTTTAGATAGTTAAACATGAAAAACAGTTGAAAAACAATGTCTAGGGAACAAGTCCGCGACGTGGAGAAAAATTTTGGTCACTGGGGGAGCAAGTCCGCGACGCGGACTTGCGTGCCAAAATCTGCTCGACTTTTCCTTCTTCGTTTTCTAACCCCAATTCGCCTAAATTCAATTCTCTTTCTCAATCCCTCTTTAGATTTAGATACCCAGCACATGAAACACAAATACCTACTCATAAACAACTCTAAAATCGACATGATTTCATCAAGAACTCAATAATCTCATCAAAACTCAAGAACTAAAGCCAATTTCAAGAACATAATTCAAGAACATCATACTTTCAACTTTCTAGAACGAACATAACGCTGAAATTAAAATGATTGGCGTGTGGGTGAATAAACCCAACACTATGGAAGCTTACATACCTGAAAGAATCATCTTCTTGAAGAACTTGAAGGAAAGTCTTGAAAGATGAACCCTAGCCTTAGCGTTTCTTGAATCCCTTGAGCGTAGAATCTTTGGAGTGAATGAGAGGGTTTAGATTTAAGAAAAACTAATTTTCTACACGTTTAGGGAAATTTAGATGACATCCTAAGGGTTTTTAGGACTAAAATACCCCTAAAGAAATAATTAAAACGAGCTGGGAGTCGAAAAGATCTTTCACCAGGCAGTGAGGTCCGTGTTGGCTCCGCGTCGCGGAGCTGCTGCCAGGTTTGCGCGACGTTAGTAAATCCGTCATAACTTTTTACTTAGAGCTCGGAATTGAGCAAACTCGGTGGAGTTGGAAAGAGGAATCGAAGGGCTTTAATTTTCTATCTTGTAGCTCACCTAACTCATCCTGTACTAGGAGTTATGGTTGTTTGAAGTTGACCCAAAACTTAAGATAACTTAAGAATGACTTGAATGCTTTTCTCTTGGATTCTTCTTGGAACTTAAGGTGCTACATCTAGTGACCTTAACACTCAAGAAATTTTAAATTCCTTGCAAAATCTCACTCCCTACGAAGAACGGTTCGAGTCTCAGTTCGAAAAAATTTCTGGGGTGTTACAGTATGGGAGTGGAGGGAGATGAAAGCGCGGCGGCGGTTAGAAAACATAAAATAAAATTAGGGGGTGGGTGAATTGGAGGTAGGGGTGGAGTGAGTAAAATAAATAATTACTTTAAAAACTTAAACTATATAAATTCATTTTTCAATTCTTCAATCAATGTGGATGAAAAATGTGTAAACTCAGATCCAATCCGTCCATTAATTACCCAAACCATATTTACCCATATAGATCATGGGCAGATTGGATAATTACCCATTTTTGTTCAAACCATTTTAAATCCATCCAAATCCAACCATTTGCCACCCCTATGTGGTATGTTCCCATTTTCTCACTGATCATGCAAAAGGTACATTGCTATAGTCAGTGTGATTTACATAAAGGTAGGCACACAAAATGTCCTGATCAATGAAGTGAGTTGAAAGTCATGAGATATCACGTTCAAATCCTAGCCGAGGCAAAAATACTATGATTTCCTCCAATCCGTTGAAAGCTTTGGTAGACCAAGATATTCAATTCTTGTGATGTTGGCGAATAACACGAGTACCCTATGGAATCAATCGAGATGCGCACAAACATGACCTGGATTACACAATCATTAAGAAGGACTAGGTACATGTAAAATTTGGAATTTTGATCTAGCCAAACTATTTGTGCAACAAAAAGTAATCTCATCCAATCTAATGAATATCATTAGTTAATCAATAACTAGTAAAACCGACACAATTTTAGTCAATCACTCTTTAATTAGTATTTCTCTAATTAGGATGAGGATACTTACCAAATAAATACTCGTAAAAACATACTTTCGGATCTCATACTTAAGTTGCTCAGACTCAGGTATGTATGCCTGTGGAGATTGCGGATCTAGAGGTCAGACCTCACATGATTTTTAAATTTTAAGATTCAGTAGTGCGGATCCAGATACATATACAAGTGCGGGGATTCAGCTAAAAATAATTCATATATCTAAAAATAGAGTTTATGTCTAATTTTAGATAATAAGTGATATGCACATGATAGGCTGTTAGCCCCTCAAAGACGGATGAGAGGACGAAAAAGAAGAGATATCCTTAAAGATTTAACTACTATAGCATACTGCAAGTGGGAAAACACAAAATTGTAGACTTACATCAATTGAAATTAGAGAAAGACGACCAGCATGGTGACACTTTTCAAGTTTTGACATAAATATCTTGCTCTTTGATATCTTTTCAGGTGTAACATACAATATTTTAAGCTCATCCCCGCCCTTCTCCAAAGCCTTGTATATGAACTTCTCATTCTCCTTGGTAGTTGTTGAGGTTAACATGAAAGCTGGGATGCCTAAAGCTGCCAACCCCATGACCTGAGGCTATAACATTTGTCAGCAGTTGTTGCATACAAGAGGAAGATGGACTGGGCGATTGGATACCTGTTCTAGAATAAGAGAAAGCAAAGGACTGACAACAAGAGCCACGCTATCCCGCAGAACTGTTGGAGGTTGGTAGCAAAGACTCTTTCCCCCACTAGCAGCCATAATTACTAGAACATCCCTTCCACTCATTATTGTGTTTATGATCTACAAATAGATTACTGACATCAGCAAATCTCTAAATGGAAAATCACAACTATATTTTAAAAATTCAGCCGAAGATGATTCAATGTAAATCTTATACTTATGTGCACTTTTGATTTCAGTAATACCCCAACATGAAGTATTTTGCCTATCAATAAACCCCAGAAAGATGAAAAGAAACACAGAACGATCAATCGAGATGAATAATGATTTGAAAATTCTACCACACCCAACATTTCTACCTCCACAACCACTTCATGAGAAAAATCCTAGTATCTTGCTTCAAATTTCTAAACCCAGTTTTCCCTCTTCCGTGTTAGCCATAAAAGTGTTCCATTTGAGACTACGTAAAAGCACCTTTAATTCCTGCCATATGAAATTTCTCCTCAATGAGTCAAGTCTTCTTTTTTCATAATATCTTCGATGGTTACTCAACTATGAACTTCTCTCAGAAAGTCACTCAACATTGGTATTTAACCCAAAAGTCACTCAACTATGGATTTTTCTGTCAGAAAGTCACTCAACTTTGATTTTAACCCAAAAATCACTCAACTATGAAAGTTTTACTTACAAAGGCACTCAGAGATGTTTTGAGAATAAGAGCATCCCTTTCCAAAACATTAAAATGAAATGTTTAGTGACCTTTTACTTTTGGAATATACATACTATACCTAAGGATCCAGGGGACATCACCCTATTCTTAGATAGTTTATGAGGGCGATAGGTGTTTAGATTTTTTTTTTACAAACCCTCTATACATTTGATGTAAGTACTACAAGAGTTCAGTATTGGTGTACTTCTATGTTTATAATACCAGTTGACTTTCTCAAAAAGAAAGTCGCTCAATATATATAATTAATTGTTTCATCAAAATTCATTGACATGAAATTTTTATTGAAAGCCAAAATTTTAAGAAATAAAAAAAAATTATTTTCTCATTTTCACTCTTCGGGGGTGGCCCAGTGGTTTGGGCTTGGAATTTCCATGTTGGAGGTCTAAAGTTTGAAACCCCTTGCCACGAAAGCAAGGAGTTTGTTTTCTGGGTCGAGCTCGTCGCACCGAGCTTGCCTAGTGTGGGTTACCTCTCATGTGTGGTTTGTAAGCTATTGTATAGGAGCGGAAGTTTTACCCTGTTCGCACCCAAAGGGTAGCGGCTGCGAGTTTTCCCTTGTCATAAAAAAAAAGCTATTTTCTCATTTTCCTTTCACAAGATTGAAATAAATAGAATATTATTTTCGGTATAACACTAGACACTAGATCTCTTTTTGGTTTATTTTTTTGTTAAAAGGTCAAAAGATAAGTTATAAGTCACCTCAAATTCAATTAATACAGTTCCCATGGCAATGATTGTCCATCTACAATTCCTTAAAATAAATATCTTTTTATTTCTTAAAATTTAGGTTTAAAATAAAAAAATTCATGTCAACAAATTTTAATGAAAAAATCTATAAAATAGGTTGAGGGGCTTTGTAAATAAAACTTACATAATTGAGTGATGTTTGGATTAAAAAATCAAAGTTAAGTGGCTTTCTAAGAGAAAAGCTCATAATTGAGTGATTTTGAATTAAAAACCAAAGTTGAGTAACTTTATGAAAGAAAAGTTCATAGTTGAGTAACTTTCTAAGAGAAAAGTCCATAGTTGGGTGACTTTTGGTTTAAAACCAAAGTTGAGTTACTTTCTGGAAGAAAAGTTCATAGTTGAGTAACCATATGAGATATTATCTCCCACTTCATGAACAAAATCTCAGTATGCTACCTCAAATTTCTAAACCCAGTTTGTCCTCTTCCTTGTTAGCAATAAGAGTGTTCCATTTGACTACGTGAAAACATCTTTATTCTTTTTCTTGCCATATGAAATTTCTCCTCGATGAGTCAAGTCTTCTTTTCCACCTAACTATTTTTTTCTCGCATCTCTAATCCCTAGCCTAATCTCCTAAATTTATTTTAAGCAAATAAAGGAAACCTAAATAATTTGTTGGACGAGAACTAACTTCACATTCTAGAATCCCTACCAATACTTAAATTTCATTAACCGGATATAACAAACTCTTTCTCTAATTTACATGTAGACCAGACACGACTTCAAAAAGGGTTAATAGTACTCTTAAATGCCATAGCTGGTAAATCATAGCCTCACAAAAAATCAAAATATCGTCAGCGTAACGCAAATGGGAAATCTCTAAATTGCTACCTCTACTATGTCACTAGAAGCTCCTCAGGCATCCATGTTGATTTGCCATCCTTACCATACTGTTAAAACCGTCCATAGCAATACTTAATAGGGGTGATGACAAAGGATCCCATCGTAACATTCTCCTTTGGGATGAAAAAAATCCTTCAGATAAACCATTCATCATAAAATTAACAATAGAGAATCTAACAGTACTAATGGCAAAAAAGAGTCCATCCAATCTATTTACTTTGAAACCCCATGTCTCTTAACACCTCGGGTAGAAAGTCGCAATTTACATAATTATACGCATTTTCATTAACTACTAAGCCACATCCTTGATTGCAAAGAGTATTTTCATAATTTGGTTTTTAAAGAAGAAATTTAAAGAGAGGATAGGATATTTTGCTTCCAATCCTCAAAATCGCACACTACAACACATAAAGATAGAGACGGAGCATTAGTATGAGTAGAACGGATAGCGCGCAAGTGGAACCTATTATAGGATCTTGCAGTGACCATTATCAAAAATTAAATACTCTACAACCCCCTCCCACATTGTCAATTGAATGTTCACCTCTTATATCGAAATTCTATTTCGATAGGTTCACCTATATTAGAATTCCTTTTTAGAAAAGAACGGATCTAAGTCATACTCAAACCTCTTGCTTCGTGTTGCCAACTAGCATTTACTCTTACAAGATGAATCACAAAAAAAATTTAAGCATGCTAAACCTTGTAACATAAGACGACCAGTAAAAAGTAAATGTAGACAAGATGGACCAACCTCTCGCTGGTTTGCACGATATTTTGATATGCCAAAAACATTAAACCTAATGTCATCAGCTTGAGAGTCCCACTCAAACGGCCTAGACCATTCATCTACTGAAACAACACCATTATCGGAACCCGGGCCACTAGATGATTCACAACTTTCCTCAAGAGCTTTAAGTTTCAAATTTTCTCTCATGCAATTTCTCTTGTCGATCTAGCAAATATTTTATTTGATCTGGATAAGAAGACATTGAAGACCATGCTTTCAGACGGACGAATAAAGTACATTGCAGGAGAATTGAAAGATCAAACATCTAAGGATAGAACTCAATCACAAAGACAAAAAAGACAACACAATGAAAAAGGCAAGTAAAAATCAAAACAAAATCATTTAAGATTAGTTGTAACAAGGTTCTGAAACTCTTTGTAAATAAGAATGGCAGATGAGTGAGGATTTATTGTCCAGAATAACATGTTATCCGAGTGATATTTATCACATTGACTAAAGTCATGTAGAATAACACTTCCAAAACCCAGTAATCCATGTTGGACACCGTGTCCATAAAGATATGCTGGAGAAATGGGTCACACATGCAATAGTGTCCGGGTTCTGTTCTTTGAAAACATCACACAACCTTGACAAATTGGTGATTTACAAAAAGAGAACACATTTGATGTGACACAAAAAAATGGATGATTAAATTAAACGTCCCTCGTTGCTCTTGATCTTCTAATGCAAATGAACCTTTCATGTTCGAATCTACAGACATTAAAGTCTCCTCCAACTATCCAGTGATAGTCCATAACCCTCTAATATCAGCTAATTCAACCCAAAAATATGTTCTTTCCCAATTTGAATGTGGCCAATATACACCAGTAAAGCACCATTTGAGATCTCCATGTAGCCCTTCAAACATTGTAGTGATGGAGTGTGTACCTTGCAGAAAATCTATGTGATTCCATTGCCTCTTATCCCAGAATATTGTGATACCCTCGCTCCTTCCATATGATTTTAATTCCACCCAATCGACCCATCTAGATCCCCAAATCGGTGTTGCAGTAACAGTAGACCATTCTTCAATATTTGTTTCTTGTAGAATTAAACATCTGGCTTCCACGTCTTGACCAACACTATAATGGTGTCTCTTTTTTCATTGTCCTTAAGCCCGCGCACATTCCAATTTATGATTTTCACTTTCATTCAGACAGTACTTTGAGTTTCCTACCCTTCATGATTCTTTCTCCCTCATTGTGCACCCCTTTGTCATAGTTGACTGAGCAAATCAAATTTATACCTCGCCATCCCCCTTTGTTTTATGATGCATTCTGGTTCAGCTTTTTAGTCCCCACACCATTGAATAGTGTTTTCGGAGGTTACTAAACCTTTTAAGGCAAATCCTCCTTATGCCATCATTGATTATAAAACTCCATGTTTTCTGTCTTTATTGTAGTTTCCATATCTTTAACGGCTAGCTAAGCATCTTAGAGGGTTGTGGTACCTTTTTCGGGTTATGTAAATGGGTATGAGCATTAGTACTTTTATTTCATGAAATCGAAAGAAGCTAAGTGTGAAATCTATTGAATGAGTCAAGAGACCTTTGAAAGTAATTTAGACATCATTGAATAATGAGATTGCATCATTAAATTAGCAAAAATACATACTTCTTCTTATTTTAATCATTTTATTTATGTAAAGACAAAAATATTCCTCAAATTATTTTAATCATTTTATTTATTTTTTGATTTTATATTTTATATTTGTACTAGTAAATTTATTTAAATAAATTAGCTTACAAATTTTATTATTTATAGAGAGTTGTTTATTGATAAATAAATGCAATACATATCAATACAATATTTAAAATGTGAGTTGTTTAACATTTACTAATTGAAAAGACAAATATATCACCACATGACGTTTGTGATCTTAATTGAATATATTATTTGTTGATTTAATGTGGTTTCTAATTATTTGTATTTTGAACAATTTATAAATTGCATACATATTAAAACTACAACTTGCAATTTTTAGGTCTAAATGAAGATGATATAGTCGATTTCACAATTGTTTACCGTCTTTTCGGTTTTAAAGTAGATGGTTTATCTATTCTAAATTGAAAATCAACGTTTTTAAGTGATTAATTTATTAAGATGACAATTATTTATCCTCAAATAATTCAAGTGAGAAAATAGCAAACATGACAACAAAATTGTTCTCCTCCTAGCTAGTTAGAAGGCCATAGAAAGATAAAATTGTCCGGCAATTTTCTACCTTGACTCGATTATATAAAATAGAAAATCTCATAATAATTCAAAAGTATTATTAGAAAGAAGCTTTTTTATAGAGTTTTAATCCAAACACAAGATGAAGAGGAGAGCAATGAACCAAACACTTGATAAAAACTATACCATGCATTACTAATCCCAGCACTACTAATCCCTGCATTACTAATCCCTGCATTACTAATCCCTGCGTTACTAATGTCTGTGTTATTTATTTTTCTACCAAACGACCTTTTATAGTCTATTAGAAAGCGTCTTAGAGATAATCATTTAGATATTCCTACCAAACTAAATAGGCCCATATATTTTCTTCTTTTTGGTTCACTTTTTTGTCTGTGCTTATGCTTCTGTGTGGGTTTTAGGGTCGTCAAGCAATTTTGAAGTTGAAGATTTCATGTTATTTATCACCGGAGAATTCCTATCACCGGTAAGCGGCCTGTCTATTTGTTTTAACAGAGAAGAGAAAGTGAGTTGAAGATTTGGATCTGAGATTAATTTGAACAGGTTTTTGGGAGAGAAATGTTAGTTTTAGGGCTTACGACCTAAGATGATAACTTATATCGTACTTTAAGGACCGTTTCTGTTAGGTGCTATATATCAAGGACCAAAACCATCCAACTCCTATACGGTAAGGACCATTTTGATCATTCCCTAAGAATAAACACATTTATCTTCACAAGATAGAGGTAAGGCTGTGTACACACCACCCTCCCCAGACCCCATTTCTGGGTTTACACTAGGTATGTTGTTGCCTTAACTACACACATCCTAAGAGAAAAAAAAACTTAAGTGAAACAAAAAACAAGCTCACAAGGTGAGAATTGTCCAACAACATATAAGGAGACAATAGTCCATTCGCTCAGGGAATGTGGGACATTCAAATGAAATAACGATTGCTCAAAACCATATAAGGAGTCAACAACCTAATCCCTCAATCGATTTGGGATACTTACCACTCGCGCATGCCTAAAACTGGACATGTATGACATGTACAACATAACATGGAGGTCCAACAATGGATAAACCAAAAATATAAATAAACACGACTCTGATACCACATTAAGAAAATAGACTTTGGATTCAACCTCAAACGGTAGCAGATGAGGATCGCCAAGATCATATAATGAGACAACATCTCATTCCCTCAACCAAATGTAAGATACTTAATTGCTAAAGTATGTGAATGTTTAAACTGTTAAAAATGGTACAATTTTATTTTACTTAATTATATCTTCAATACACCCATCACATGCTAACCTAATTATTTTTCATGGGTCATGCACGTGAAAATTCTTTGTGGTAATGAGTGGTGGTGAGACTCGAATCCAAGACCTCTGCGAGCTCTACGACCGTACTTCAACGTGTGACCATCTCATCTTGCAAGCTTTAGCTACTAAAGAAGATATACTTTTACTTACTTAATTAGTCTTTCTAAGGAGAACTGGCTTGGGAGTGGTAGTTTATAGGAAAAATTCTCCTGATATATTTGGCTTATTTCCTTTTAGTGCACCCATGAAGTTCCTTTATGTATAGAAGAATGAGTGTCATTCATAGAAAACTATATTGTATTAGAAGGTTTTCTACTTTTGGTATACGGGAGATTTTTCCCTCACAATATTAAAATTTACCATTTCATATAAAAAAGGCAAATGAAATCCCTATAAAGGTAAACAAAGACACCTGTTCGCAAAGACAATATTCATAAACAATTACAGCGAAAGGAAGTTGTATATATAAAATGAACAGACAGAAATATCAAAAGAAAATTTTCATACCTTAGATGAACTCTCTCACGAGCATTTACATCCATATCCGCATGATAGTGATCAGCCGAAATTCCCCTTTCACGTAATTCTTGTGCAACCTACAGTTTGTCATCAAATATGAAGGTGAAAAAAAAAGTTCGAGATGTAACAATAACAACAAAATTGAATTGACAGTCAAAACACCACAATGCGAATATGATGTGGGTCAGAATAAGTAATAAGAAGGAACACAAGAATTACATGCTATTTACCTACTACCCTATAACGTTATTATACTGTTCATTACTTACCAAAATTGCCGCGGGACAAGACTAGATTATTGTTAACCGCCATGTACAGTAGATGTTGCCAAAGCTAATAGATAAAAACACATTTCTGGAAGGATAAACATTAGTAAACATTGTTGTATTCTCATCTTGCAGTGAAACTAGACTAACTACTCCGTTTTAAGAAAAGCTCTCTCTCTCTCTATCACACACACACACAATTGTGGAAGGCAATGTCTCATAAACCAATTTTGTTTTCTGTGAGAGCTGCCAGACCAAACAAAAAGATAATGAGCTCAGAATGTTCCAGGGTTCCGGCGTTAATATTCTAACCAATAGACCATATCTGAACCAGTTATGCACCTCCCCACAGAATATTACAGTTCGTTGTGTGACCAAAACCACAATGTTTTACCAAGTGAAAGTAGAACAACAGAACATTCCCAGATTAGCCACATTATATCTGCCATAATTATCTATCTAAATGCAATGAGAATGAACCTTGTTGCTCTTTTTTTCACAACGGTTGAAACTATGAATCATTTGACTTTCTATCATTAAGCTCCAAAACTGGAGAAAACTTAAGCCCATATTTTTTTTTTGATGACCGTGGTGTCCGTGGTGCCAAAAAGAAGAGAACCTACACCAAAATATGGTTCTCAACAAAAGAGATACAATCCTCTATACAATTAAAGACCTCACAAGTACACTAAAAATAAATTAGAGATAAAATACCACGTTGCAATTTTACAAAATCTTGTTCCACCCCTTCAAAAGCACTCCCATTTCATCCAAAACCTGTTATAGTCTATTAGAAAGCGTCTTAGAGATAATCATTTAGATACTCCTACCAAACTAAATAGGCCTATAATCCCTTAATA